AACCGAACCAAGTGTTAGCCATTTTGCAGAAACATATTTCAACCAAATCCAAAACGTCAACTTCAAAGCTTTCAATAAGAGATTAATTTCTCATATCTTGACATCAATGTCACAAGCAGAACGCTAGAAACGTTCATAAAATTCAACCTCCTACAAGATATTAACAACGAGATTCTCACAATCAAATTCTCCTACAAAGATTATTATACGGAGTTTTTCCTACCCCAGGTATGTTAAGGCTATCCCTTCTTTCTTTTGGCATGATCTATACGGCACAAACAAAACGAGCAAATGCACAAATTCCATAAATGACTCTATTCATAGAAGTATTAGAGATATCTAAGTTCTTGAATTTCCATGTTTCATAATATTCTATCATCTGTTCATGGGTCTCAGAAAAATACGAAAGTTGAAAAGAGTTTACTTTATGATATTACTCAAAGGCAAAATGGTCTTATGACATTCCGAAAGATTTTATTAACGTACTTTTCATGCATTGCATTCATGTACATTGAATGCACGTATATATATATATATATATATATATATATATATATATATATATATATGGGATATGGGAAAGGTTATGGCGTTATATACGCACCACCACCTGATCAGCTGGTATAGGTTGATGATTTTGCCCACAGTGGCTGAGATGATACGATGGGACGGCCTCAGAGGCTCACGACATGACATTCATACTCATATGCATGACACTATAATTATTTCATGATTTACAAAGTTATCCAGACTTACAGGTGGAGTCATTTACTCTATATTTCCTTCATGTCTGTTATGTACTTATTTATGTGCCTTACATACTCAGTACATTATTCGTACTGACGTCCCTTTTTGCCTGGGGACGCTACGTTTCATGCCCGCAGGTCCCGATAGACAGGTCGAGAGCCCTCCAAGTAGGCTATCAGCTCAGCGGAAGATGTTGGCGCGCTCTATTTGCTTCGGAGTTGCTTGTTTGGTTAGTATGAGTTAGATGTGTATCGTTTGGTATGGCGGGACTCTGTCCCGACCTTTATGAAAATTATGTATTCTTAGAGGCTTGTAGACAGATGTCATGTACGTAAAAGATCGTATGGCCTTGTCGGCCTATGTTCATTGTTTAACTGGTTATTTTGGTCTTAGAGGCCCATATGTCTTATGTATAAGTTGGCATTACCTGTTGTATTCTATCTATTTCACGACAGCCTCTCGGGCTCAGTTATTTATGATAGTATGACATGAAAAGATACGTTATGTTCGTACTCGGTTGAGTAAAGTACCGGGTGCCCGTCGCGGCCCATCGGTTTGGGTCGTGACAGGGCCTCAGTGCCGAGCTGTGAGTGATATGTATTTATGTGGATTGGGTTGCATGCCGCAACGAGCCTCAGAGATGTATATGTGTTGATTGGTTTGCATGCCGCAACGAGCCTTAGGGCTGTATGTGTGTGGATCGGGTTGCGCGCGACAACGAGCCTTATGGCTGTTTATATATTAATAGATCGGGCTGCACGCCGTAGCGATATAGCGCTTGGGCTGAAGGAGCCCCTTCAGAGTCTGTACACCCCCAGTGAGTGCAGGTACCTATTGAGTACGAGTGTTGAGTGCCGAGAGCCGAGTGCTGAGATATTGAGAAAAATTGAGTGACTGTTGTTCTGAGAGGATGTTCTTGATGTCATTATTGTTGCATTTAGCTGCCATATATCATTGTTTGAACATCTGGTAAACATTATATCCGATTTTTACTTGAACTTGGGTTGTACCAACTGATTTGGCTTAAATTGCCGGATTTGAAAGTATGCCTACTTTCTTTTGTTGAGACTACTGAAATTCGAGCTATAATTGTGTAGCTCGTCACTATCTTTCAGTTATTTATTCAGTATTGTTACTTACTGAGTAGGTTGTATTCACGCTACACCATGTACTTCGTGTGCAGATCCAGGTATTTCTGGACACGGTGGGTGTTGATCTTTTGCACGGTTGATCGTTGGAGACTTCGAGGTAGCTGCCTCGCGTTCGCAATCCTTGTTTCTCCTTCCTTATCCTTTTCTTTTATTGTATTTTGATACAGACTTTCATAGACATTTCTTTTCTACACTAGTGATGTATAGACGCTCAAGAACTCAGTGACACCCCGATTTGGCGGTTGTTTTCTGCATTTGTATTTGAGTTTTACCTCCATTTATGAAAACTTTGTTATTTAAAACTACTTGATTCATTTTCTGTTAATTGTTGGGAATATTTTGGAAATGTCAGCTTGCCTAGTACCACGATAGGTGCCATCACGACATGTTAGGACTTTGGGTTGTGATAACTTCTTTCCTCCTCTTCTAGGTATCCTCATAGGTCCACACAGATCCATACGAAGAAGATCAGTGGCCTTGAGGTGCTCACTTCCTTCTTAGGTTTGAATGAGGACCTTACTTGCTTCCCTCTCACATATGTATCACACACCTTGTGATCTTTGAACTTTGACTTGGGCAACCCGCGGACCAGGTCCTTCTTGATCAACTTGTTCAACAAGGAGAAGCTTGCATGCCCTAGCCTTCTGTGCCATAACTAAGCATCATCATCAATGGCTACAAACAAGAATTTTCTTTGCCTTGAAGTTCTTCTTGACGGCCTTTCGATTAGCATCTTTGTACTCTGTTATTGTCTTTGTGACTGTAGTTATTCCCTCACAAATAGTTTTCATGGGAACAAAAGGACCATCACAGATCACATCCCATAGCTCTGAATCCTCAGCCATGATTACAACATTGTCACGACCCAAAATCCACTAGTCGTGATGGCACCTAACCCAACCCGCTAGGTAAGCCAACTAATAACTATCAATTTCCAATAGTATTACTAAGACAATTAGACAAGAAAAATTTTCTGAATCTTATACCTTTTCCAAGGACTGGTAGTACAAATCATGAGCTTCTAAGAATAGATTTTACAAAGCTGGTATGAAGTAAATACATCATCTGTTTGAAAAGTACATAAACAGCGTTTTATAAATTCTAAGGCTACCATGAACAAGAGGCAACTACAACCGAAAGGCAGGTAAGTCTTCAATTCCAGCTCTCGTCGATCACAGCAACATCTGTAGCCAACATCTGCATGCAAGGTGCAGAAATGTAGCATGAGTACAACCGATCCCATGTACTCAATAAGTAAAAAACCTAACCTTAGGTTGAATGTAGTGACGAGCTGGAACAGTCGGGTCCAACATCAATAACCAACAGCAGTTCATAAGAATGTGAAGCAAATAATAAAAGAAGTAACTTGGAATTTAGAGAGTTGAAATCTGCAACGTAGATGTTCTTGAACATGTTTGCAAATAGAACTACTTCACTAGTTATGAGATTGGTGACAGTACAAAATTTTGATAAGAACTCCACTTTGTTTCCTTTATCACAGATTTGAGAGATACTCAACAAGTTGTATTTCAAGCCATTCTCATAGTACACATTTTAATTGAGTGGGAGAGTGTTTTGCCAATCTTTCCAACCCCCAGAATATATCCCTTCTTGCCATTTCCAAAGGACACACTCCTACCATGTAGGGCCTTGAGTCAAAGGAAATCATCCATTCTTCCAGTCATGTGTTTAGAGTAGCCACTATCCATGTACCATTTTTGACTACTTCCCCTCACTTTTGCCTGCACAAGAAAATCACTGATTAGACTTAGGAACCTAAACCAGTTTGGGTCCCTTGTAATGATAGAATGGATGAATCAAACTTACTTTTGTCCTTGCAAGCATCACATATTTCGTTTTTAGAGAACCATGTTCCTTAGCTGTAGGTTTCTTTTCAACAAAAACTTTGTTTTTCTGCTGAGATTGAAATTTAGCTTTACAAGTGTCTTTGTAATGACCAGTTTGACCACAGTGAGTGCAAAGCCAATTATCAATCACACTAACATACTTGCTATGGGGATTATAGGGAGCTTTAGCCTTATGGAACCCGATTCCTTACGTGTTTCCTCCATTACGTTTATACATAGAACTGATTGTATCGGAGGACCAGGTCCACTTATGTGTAGATCATTTTAATCCTACTTAAGTCCTCCTAAAGTAGTATATTCTTTTTAAGTTCAACAACAAGACTTGATTTGACATTTTTGAGCTCACTTTAAAGCTTAAGATGTGCCTCACATGCTACTTCCTTTCCCTTAGGGGTGTTCATCCATTTTTCCATTTGATTTTTAACACGTTATTTTCTCTCGTTATTTCTTCTACTTGTTCCTTCAGATCTACAACTACAACCACCAAATCATCTCTCTCTTGTTCTACCTCTCCAATTTCCTCAGTTAAAACATTTTTATCATTAATGAGGTTGTGATAAGTATCAATCAAAACATTTGCTAGAGATATCAGTTTCTTTTGAGAGTAAGTTTTTAAGTTTCTTTGAATGTCAAGAAAAGTTACCTCATCTTCCTCGTTATACTCATCATCATCAGATTTGGCCATGAGTGCAAAGATAGAATCATACTCTGTAAATCCACTTTCAACAGCCATCATGGAGGTGCCTCCTTGGTCATCCTCATCCTCAGGTTCACTGGAGGAATCTCCCCATGCAACCAGAGCCTGCTTCACAATATCTTCAACGGCATCTCTTCTCTTGAACCTTCTGTCAGGGACCGGGTTCATCTTGACCGTTTTATCTGTGTTATGTTTGTAGTGATCCTGCTTGTGAAGATGACACTCTTTGATTAAATGTCCTTACTTTCCGCACTTATGGCAACACTAATTTCCTTTGTTCTTGCTAGTGCTTCCTTTCTTGGGAATTTCTCCCTTTCTTCGAACCATTTTCTGGAATCTTCGAGTAAGATAGGCTATGTCTTTCTCATCACCACTTGTATCACTGATGTCATCCTGGAGTAAGATAGGTTCTTCTCTTTTTTGTTTTCTCTTCTTTCAAGATATTTCTTCTTCATCATCACATAGGTTTTAAGATTTCTAATGAGTTCATCAATGGTCAGCTTCTACAGATCCTTGGCTTCAGTGATGGTATTCACTTTACTCTCCCAGGAACCAAGTAACACAACGAGTATTTTTCGACCAGCTTGTTTCTGGGTATGACATCTCCAAGGGAGTGAAGATCATTGATGATGGAGTGAAGCGTGTGTACATGTACTGAATAGACTCATCCTCTTTCATCTTGAAAAGCTCGTACTCAGTAGTGAGCAAATCAATTTTTGACTGCTTGACCTGGGTAGTTCCCTCATGTGCAGTTTGAAGAGCTTCCTAGATCTCCTTAGCAGACTAACAGGCTGAGATGCAGTTGTATTCATCTGGTCAATGCCACAAACAAGAATCTTCTTTGCCTTGAAGTTCTTCTTCACGGCCTTTCGATCAACATCTTTGTACTCTGTTCTTGTCTTTGTGACTGTAGTTATTCCCTCACCAATAGTTTTCATGGGAACAAAAGGACCATCACAGATCACATCCCATAGCTCTGAATCCTCAGCCATGATTACAACATTGTCACGACCCAAAATCCAATAGTCGTGATGGCACCTAACCCAACCTGCTAGGTAAGCCAACTAATAACTATCCATTTCCAATAGTATTACTAAGACAATTAGACAAGAGAAATTTTCTGAATCTTATACCTTTCCCAAGGACTGGTAGTACAAATCATGAGCTTCTAGGAATAGAATTTACAAAGCTGGTATGAAATAAATACATCATCTATTTGAAAAGTACATAAATTGAGTTTTAAAAATTCTAAGGCTACCATGAACAAGAGGCAGCTACAATCGGAATGCAGGTAAGTCTTCAATTCCAGCTCCCGTCACTCACAGCAACATCAGCAGCCAACATCTGCACGCAAGGTGCAGAAGTGTAGTATGAGTACAACCAATCCCATATACTCAATAAGTAACAAACCTAACCTTAGGTTGAAAGTAGTGACGAGCTGGAACATAGGTCGGGTCCAACACCAATAACCAACAGCAGTTCATAAGAATGTGAAGCAAATAATAAAAGAAGTAACTTGGAATTTAAACTGCTCAGCTTTTCATAATACCCGAAAATAGTTCTGCTCTTCAAGTATATCACTGAAAACCCAAATCCTTTACCGAAATCATCAAAAATATGAGATTGAAAATAGTGTTTCCCTAAAAATTCCTTTCAAAAATACGTAAGATGTTTCATTTTTAAGATAGCATGAGGAAAATACATCTCTATGCCTACATGTCAAGATACAGGTAAATTCATAAATGACACCAAAAAACAGGCAGCAGAAGGAAATGCATCTCTATGCATGTATCTCAAGTACGCATCTCAAATGCAGTCGTCACAGTGAAGAACTCATGTACTCACACTCTTAGAGTACTCAATCTCACTGTTTCATACTTTCCACTCATCATGCTCAATCACTCAACTGCACTCCGTCACTCAGTACTGATCAGGGCAAATCTAGCCCAAACATAATAACTGCTAGCAACTACGCTCACTGGGGGTGTACAGACTCCGGAGGGGCTCCTACTGATAACAACAAGGTCGGGAATCCAAACTAGAGTAAGGAATTGAGAAGTAAATGCAGAAGCAATAACAATAAGGAATTGAACAACAAGAATTGAAGTGCAGAAAATAAAGGATATGGGAAAATTCAGGGAAAGAATTCCAAGAACTTCCAAGAACGCAAGTTCTAAAGCCTTGACAAGATCCAAGCAACAACGTTTTGATTTATTGAAGAAATCAAATGCCTTTACTTAAGAACAAATCAAAAACAATTGATTCGGATCTTGACCGCTTTACGAGTAACTTGAGACAACAATTAATAACTAGTATTAATCGCCTTCTAAGAATACCACAAAGGAATCAATGATATCACAATAAAGAAGTTATCTTACTATCTTGAACTATGAACTACTAAAGGTTGAAAGGTAAATCTCAAAGCATAAGTAACAAAGGTTCAAAAGAACTCTCAAAGTATAATATTATTAATCAATAATGAAGTGCCACAATGAATGAAAAGAACTCCTATTTATAGGAGAAAAAAATCCAAAAAAACTAGGTAGTGTGGCTGCCAAGGCAACCCTAACTTGGAGGCTAAGGTAACTACTAGAAAACCTAATAAAAGCTAATAAAAATAAGAGGGTGGGCGGCCAAATCCCTTAGGGGCAGATTTGAGCCTTAAAATTACTAGTTTGGGCCATTGGTTTGGACTCCAATTGGGCTCCTTTTGAAACACCCCCTTTTGGACCTCATTTAAGCTCATTTTAAGCTCTTCTAGATGCTCTTTTGGTGGACTTCAAGGGCTGATGTTGGGACCCAATCTTCCTCCTCTTGGACTTCAATTTGGGCCACCAAATAATTGTAAAACTTGGATAATTCATATCCTTTGGGCTTGAGCTCTTCCTCTACAATTAAAAGCTTCTTTATTTGCCATTGAAGTCCAGCAATCTTAGTCTGCAATTCTTTAGCTTGAGATCTTGTAAATGGCATTCTTGAAGCTTCCAAAACTCTATCATTGTCCTTGATGCTATCATTCCCCTCTTCGTGAAAAGAATTAGTCCCCGAATTCGATCCTACATCAAACAAAGACAAGTCAGTAACATTATATGTAGCATTTACTTGAAACTCACCAGGAAGGTCCAGCTTGTAAGCATTGTCTCCAATCCTTTCAAAGACTTGAAATGGGCCATCTCCTCTAGGATGCAACTTTGACTTCCTTTTGGAAGAAAATCTCTCCTTCCTAAAGTGAACCCAAACTAAATCTCCAGGTTGAAAAATAACTTGTTTTCGACCCTTATTCTTTCTCAAGGCAGTTTGCTCATTTTTCTTCTCAATTGCAAGCCTTGTTTGCTCATGAATTTTTTTCATCATTTCAGCCTTTGTCCTACCATCAAGATTAGCAATATCATTAGTAGGTAATGGTAATAAATCAAGGGGAGTAATGGGATTAAAACCATAAACAACCTCAAAAGGAGACATACCTGTAGAAGAATGGATTGTTCTATTGTAAGCAAATTCAATCATAGGTAAGTGATCTTCCCAAGAAGTTAATTTACCTTTCAAAACAGCCCTCAAACATGTTTCCTANAGCTCATTTTAAGCTCTTCTGGATGCTCTTTTGGTGGACTTCAAGGGCTGATGTTGGGACCCAATCTTCCTCCTCTTGGACTTCAATTTGGGCCACCTAAATAATTGTAAAACTTAGATAATTCATCTCCTTTGGGCTTGAGCTCTTCCTCTACAATTAAAAGCTTCTTTATTTGCCATTGAAGTCCAGCAATCTTAGTCTGCAATTCTTTAGCTTGAGATCTTGTAAATGGCCTTCTTGGAGCTTCCAAAACTCTATCATTGTCCTTGATGCTATCATTCCCCTCTTCATGAAAAGAATTCGTCCCCGAATTCGATCTTACATCAAATAAAGACAAGTCAGCAACATTGAATGTAGCACTTACTTGAAACTCACCAGGAAGGTCCAGCTTGTAAGCATTGTCTCCAATCCTTTCAAGGACTTGAAATGGGCCATCTCCTCTAGGTTGAAAAATAACTTGTTTTCGACCCTTATTCTTTCTCAAGGCAGTTTGCTCATTTTTCTTCTCAATTGCAAGCCTTGTTTGCTCATAAATTTTTTTCATCATTTCAGCCTTTGTCCTACCATCAAGATTAGCAATATCATTAGTAGGTAATGGTAATAAATCAAGGGGAGTAAAGGGATTAAAACCATAGACAACCTCAAAAGGAGACATACCTGTAGAAGAATGGATTGTTCTATTGTAAGCAAATTCAATCATAGGTAAGTGATATTCCCAAGAAGTTAATTTACCTTTCAAATCAGCCCTCAACATGTTTCCTAAGGTTTTATTAACTACTTCAGTTTGTCCATCAGTCTGTGGGTGACAAGAAGTAGAAAACAACAATTTAGTTCCTAACTTCCCCCAAAATACACGCCAAAAGTGGCTCAAAAACTTAGCATCCCTATCACTAACAATAGTTCTAGGTATACCATGCAATTTAACAACTTCCTTTACAAATAGATCAGCAACATGTGAAGCATCATTAGTCTTTAGACAAGGAATAAAACGAGCCATTTTGGAGAACCTATCTACCACAACAAATATACTATCCTTACCATACCTTGTTCTAGGCAAACTTGACACAAATTCCATAAAATTATCAATCCAAGGTGAAGTAGGAACAGGTAATGGCATGTAAAGACCATGTGGTAATACTTTATATTTAGCTTGTTTACATTCCAAATATTGTGCACACACTCTTTCAACATCTTTTCTCATGCCAGGCCAAAAGAAATTTTCAGCAAGTATGTCTAGTGTCTTTGGGACTCCAAAGTGATCCCTAAGGCCTCCCCATGTGCTTCCCTTACAAATACTTCATGTAAAGAGCAATTAGGAATACACAACTTATTTTCCTTAAAAAGAAACCCATCTTGAAGATTAAACCTCTCAAAAGGACCATACTTACAATCTGCAAAAATCTTGCCAAAATCAACATCATTAGCATAATGTCCCTTGATTTGATCAAAACCCATCAATGTACAAGTCAGAGTAGTAACTAAGACATACCTTCTTGAAAGTGCATCAGCAACAACATTCTCTTTCCCTTGTTTGTAAGAAATTACATAAGGAAAAGTTTCAATGAATTCAACCCACTTAGCATGCCTCCTACTAAGCTTACCTTGACTCTTCAAGTACTTCAAGGATTCATGGTCAGTTTTAATGACAAACTCTCTTGGCTACAAGTAATGTTGTCATGTGGCTAAAGCCCTTGCCAAAGCATATAGCTCTTTGTCATAAGTGGAATAGTTCAATGTGGCTCCACTCAACTTCTCACTCAAGTAGGCAATAGGTTTAGAATCTAGCATCAAAACAGCACCTATTCCTTTGCCAGAAACATCACATTCAATTTCAAAAGATTTAGAGAAATCAGGCAATTGTAACAAAGGAGCAGAACATAACTTTTCTTTCAACAAGTTAAAAGCAACATCTTGTTCTTTTCCCCATGTAAAAATCTTATTATTTTTAATAAGTTCAGTTAAAGGAGAAGCAATGGTGCTAAAGTCTCTCACAAACCTCCTATAAAAACTAGCAAGTCCATGAAAACTCCTAACTTCAGTTACACTCTTAGGTTTAGGCCATTCCTTTATTGCTTTGATTTTCTCTTCATCAACCTCAACTCCTTTAGAACTAACTACAAAACCCAAGAAAATCACACGATACACACAAAAAGTACACTTTTTAAGATTAGCAAATAAAAGTTGCTTTCTAAGAACTTCAAAAACTTGTTTTAGGTGTTCTACATGCTCCTCTAAAGTGTTAGAAAAGATCAAGATATCATCAAAGTACACCACAACAAATTTCCCATGAAAATCCTTAAAAATATGATTCATTAATCTCATGAAAGTGCTAGTGCATTAGTCAAGCCAAAAGGCATAACTAACCACTCATAAAGCCCATATTTGGTCTTAAAAGCAGTTTTCCATTCATCTCCAGGATTC